TTTTTCTGAGTGCCTTTTTTCATAGAATCCGACTCCAAATTACAGCATAATTTAGTGTATGGAGTTTGGAAGATGCCAAAAAATGATTAGGACACAAAATCTCAACAAAAAAGTTTTTGAAATTTCATCGTTTTATTGGAAAACTTTGATAGGTCATAACTTTTTTCTATTATAGATACGAAGCTGAAATTTTAAGCGATTCTTATCCCAGTAGAAGTAGAGGACTACAATCCCTAAAAATTTCAGCACATTTGGACGTATAGTTCCAGAAATAAAATTGTGTTAATAGTCGTAGCGTTACACAAAAAAACGTTTCAAATCGTGATACACAGATTTGCTTGACTTCTTCATAACCAGAAATGTATCAGTAAACTATATACACGTGGCAGAAGCTTAAGATATGAATTCTGACCATTCTCCCAGTCTACTCACGCTTAGTGACAGTATTATAAGCTGTGGTATTATACAAAAGGAAATAGCTCCGAGATTAGTAAATAAACTGACAGACTGGAAAAGCTTTAGACTACAACTTCATAAAAATATGAATCTGTTAGTGCCTCTAAAAAATCAAGAACAACTAGATAATGAAACAGAATCATTTAAGATGATCGAACAAGCTGCATGGGACAATACTCCAGACTCCAGACATTATCCACAGAACCAAAGGTACAACAACTACCCCAAAGAAATCAGAGAAATTATTCGTGAAAAAAGAAGGCTTAGAAGAGTATGGCACGAAACCAGACCACCAGGTGATAAAACTATATTAAATAATGCCACACAACAGTTCAAGAGGGAGATTCAAAAAATTAAAGAAAAATCTATTGGTTAATAATACCTAAGTGAAATGTCAAATGATGGTAAAAGTTTTTGGAAAGTTACCAAAAAGCTAGAAAGACCAATCCTGCAAAATTCATCAATTAAAAATGCAGATGGTACATGGACAAAAAGTAATATTCAAAAAGCTAACAGGTTTGCAAAATATCTTGAAGAGACTTTCCAGCCGAATGAGGGTGACATTCTCGACTGGAAAAACCTTATTAAAGGAGAAGGTAATATTAGACCAGCCACTCCAAAAGAAATAACAAAAGAAATTAAAGAAAACAATAATCCGAAAAAAGCTGCAGGGTTTGACCTAATTACGGAAGAAATTACGGAATAATACGGAAGAAAACAACTTCCGGAATAATACGGAAAAAAACAACTTCCTCGTAAAGTAGTTGTTAAACTGACCTACCTCAACAATGCGTCTTTTAGAGTGAAATATGTACCTGAGCTATGGAAAGTAGCGGAAATGATCATGGTTCCTAAACCTGGAAAACCGTAAAATGTAGTTTCGTCTTACAGGCCAATCCCACTTCTGCCTGTAATCTTATAAAACTGTTTGAAAAAATACTTTTGAGAAGATTGAAACCAATTATTGAAAAAAGAAAACCTAATTCCAGACCATCAGTTTGGCTTCAGAGAAAAACAGTCAACTATAGATGAAGTCTACCGGATCACAGATTCAATTGAAAAATCATTGGGGGGAAAGAAAAGTATGCTCTACTGTCTTCCTTGACGTGGCACAGGCTTTTGATAAAATATGGCACGAGGAGCTTAGTTAAAAATTAAATAAGCTCTTGCCTAACCAGTCCTCACACTTATTAAAATCGTATATTTCTGAACGAGCTTTCAGGATTAAGTAGGAAGACGCTTACTCGGAACTCAAAGAAATAAAAGCTGGAGTACCACAGGGCAGTGTATTGGGACCAGTCCTTTACCTAATATAAACACGCGATATTCCTGAAATTGAGCATCTTTGCTGACGATACTGCTATAATGGCTGTAGGCGATAATCATCAAGAAGCGGCAAGAAATCTGCAAACATCGGTTAACAAAATCAACAACTGGACAAAGCAATGGCGAATTAAATTAAATGAAGCTAAATCTGCCCACGTCATCTTTACGAACAAAAGAGATCAACATGTTGCTATCAGAATAAACAATATCCAAGTACCTTATGCTGACACAGCAAAATACTTGGGTATAACACTGGATGCAAGGCTGCGCTGGAAAGCCCATGTCAGAAAAAAAACAGAAGAACTAGACATCAAATTTAGAAAAATGTACTGGCTGCTTGGACGAAATTCCACCCTGTCAATATACAACAAAGTACCTACTTCTGTACAACCAAATTCTCAAACCCGTGTGGACATAATATGGCATCCATCTGTGGGGCTGTGCCAGCAAGAGCAATCTAGACATAATTCAGCGATTCCAAAACAAAGTACTAAGAAGCATTGTTGTGGTATTGCAGAAACTGTGACTTTCATAGGGATATGGCAGTGAACACCGTTAGCCAGACTATCAGCAAGTTTGCCAGGAGTAATGAACAGCGACTTCTTCATCACGTCAATGTCGAAGCCATCCAGCTCCTCGACAATACGAGCCAGATTAGAAGACTCAAGAGGATCAAGCCTTTGGATCTTAGTGTGACTAGTGTCCGTGCAAAAACAGAGTATAGTGCTTGTGTGTTACACATTAATATTAGTATAAATAAGTTATCGGACAAAAATGAGGACATCTAGCGAATAAGTCCTTAGATAGGTAGGTATAGGTTTTGTAGCCGTAGTAAATTAGGTTAGAAAAAAATTACTCATTGATCAGACTTGATTGTAAGATGGGTAACCGCTTGGCAGAAAGTTTACTTACATATAATAGTTCAATTTGGCCCGCAGCACCTTATCAGAAGTGGCGTCATATTCAAAATGGCGGATTTTTCCAAAATGACGCTATCCAAGTTTTTTCTTATAGGACAACCGCATGTAGGAAAAACTATCTCTTACGTCAAGGACTCCACTCATTTCGTCCAGAAAATTAAGGATATTATTCTCCAACCTAAGGATATCCTGGTCAGCTTTGATGTCGTGTCTCCATTCACAAAAGTGCCATTAACGGAATCTCTTGACTTGATATCAAGTACCTTGTCCAATGACATAGTTGAGCTTTTTCAGACATGTCACATGTCTCACTGGTAGTTACTTTTTGTGGAACGGCGTTTTCTACGAGCAAACGGACGGTGTAACTATGAGAAGTCCGCTCAGCCCGGTCATAGCCAACTTCATGGAGAATTTCGAGAGGAAGGCTATCGAATCTTTTGACCACAAACCAACGGTATGGCTTCGATATGTAGATACCTTTGTGGTTTGGAGTCATGGGGAAGAGAAGTTTAACCAGTTCTTAGGCCATCTGAACGCGCAACGTCCTAGCATACACTTGTGGTAAGGTATACCTACATAGGAACAACAAAAAGATCCATGGGGACCAGGATTACCGAGTACAAAAAAAACTGCAGACTAGGACAATCGGAAAAATCAGCAGTAGCGGAACTTGCGCTTAGTGAAGGAGATCACCACTATTTGGTGAGATAGAGCTTCTTGCACCGACTTCCAGATACCACAATCCTCATGGACGTGAAGCTATAGAAATCTACAAACATACGCAGAACTTCAACAGGAAAGAAGAAACACTAAAACTTAAGCAAATTTGGAACCGGATCCTCAAACACGAAAGAACGATCCCAAAACTTCAATTAAAAAACTTTGTAGGTACCTAAATGGGATGCACAGCCATTTCTAAGAATAACTCAAAACTATCCCTACACAAAATCACAAGAAACGTGGATAATGAATAAGTAAAACCACGTTTTTTACAATGTCTATGTTGCAGAATTGAGATCTTATTAGAAAAGGCTTTGTATTGTATCCCATTTTGGCCATTTATAGAAGTTTTTTTTATTCAAATCTCTATTGAAATGTTTTGGAAAATGTGGTTTTATTTATTCATTTCCTATACATTTCTTGAACAGACAAATTTGAATATTACACGTTGGTGAATTTGGACGGCTAAGCATAGTATCCAAATATCTATAGAAAAAAAAATGAGATGCGATTTGAAAAAAAAAAAATCAGTTTTAGAGGTCCCATTGATCATCTAGAGTCGAAATTTCCAAACAAAAAAAATTAAAATTTGGAACAAGAATCAAAACTTTTTTTTTATCATAGATAGGTGGAAAACTGAAATTTTCAGAAAATCTTATCCTAGTAGAGGACATGGTATTCGAAAAAAAAAAAAAAAAATAAGGGGTGAATTATTATAAGGATGATTTTGTGTACAGATAGGAGTAGTTTTGACATATTCGGTGCATCCCATTTACAAATTTTTAGCTGTAAAAACTACCGAGTTCTAGCTTGTACCCGTAAAGTTGAATATTTCCTTTAAAAAATTTATTTTGTTCGTCAGCGCAAAGGGGGCGTCAAAATGGAGACACTTTTAACAAATCTATTTTGAAAGTCCAAGAAAAATAAATTGATTCGCATGCCTCAATCTTACACCTCCTGGTGATATTTATAATGTAGATAAAAAGTTTTCTTGAAAATTAGTCTAAAAGTTCCAGAAGAACGAGTTCATGGTAATTTTCATGCACCACATGACTTCATATGTTTGACACCCCCTTTTCGTGTGCACTCTGCTGAAAAAACCTATAATAAAAGAATTTGTACTTAATGACTGTATCTATATCTATAGTCAGTATGACTTTGAGTGTTGTCACGGACAAAAGAAATCATCGAGCGAATTTGCATAATGGACAGGATAATGTAGGAATAATTTTTGTTTTCAGTGGGTTTTCAGGTATTCAAAGTGATTTTAAAGAGTTTATAAAAGCTAGAAAGGAAAAATACACATGCATTAGGTAAGTTTTTAAACAATTTAATGCCCTAATAGCACAGATTAAAAAGGTCTCAAAAACGTATCCGATTGGACAGCAGAACGTTTTAAATAAGTACCTACGTCAGTAAAGTAATTGAGAACCTTCAATTTTTCAGATGTCGAAAATGATAAGCAAAAAATTGTTAGTAGCTCTAATTTTGACAGTTACACTTCAGGAATTAACCAGCTTATTCACGCTAGCCAATCAAATTACAACAAACAAGAAGAACTCGAGTGTATGGACACAAATGTCGCAAATACTCAGCAGGATTTTGAACAAATGTGTATTTGCCAAGGTATGATATCTCTATTTGCAAAAAAACCTTGAACACATTTTTCAGACGTGTGTGCGTAAAACAATAAAAATATATTTTGTTCTAAATTGCTATTCGCAAACATAATCCTCTACTGATTTTCATATTTTCCTCTGTGTCACATAAAACTGTTCTTTTTATTACAGGATCAGTATCAACTGCATACGAACAACAATGCCGTAATAATCCTGAAAGATTGCCTGAAAAGAAGAGGATCGCGAGTCCTTGATAGAGCATTGAGCCGTGACGTAATACAGATAACTCAAAATGTGGTTTTGGTTAAGCGGAAAAACGATACTGAATTAAGTCCAAGGTGAGATTTTTCTAGTCTAATTATTGCTTAAATATTCATGATTCTATAACGCCACATATCCATAAATTTTAAAAAATCCAATACAAAAGAACATCACATCAGCAGAAAACCCATTAGCATCCTTGAAAAAAAAAGCAAAAACAAAGAGCTTTGATTTTAACGTATACCGTAGGGATTTGGCAGGTTAATCAATGGAATTATTGTATGAATTTCCTCAGGGAATTGTAGAAAGCGATGGCGGACGGAAAATAATTAAAGCAAATAGAGAAATGGGGGCTCTATGAACAATAACAAGCCCTATAATCAAGTTACTAATATTTTCGATTTTTTTTTAGTTCTCCACGGAATCCAGACACAGAAATAATGGAAAAATTTCTTCGATTTCTTAAAAGTCGAGTCTTAAAAATCACTTTTAAGCCAGATGCTAATTTATCGCTGAGTGAATCTGAGGGTAAGTGCTAAGTAACTTTTTCAATTAGGTTAATTATAAACTTGTTATTCATGGAAGCAAAAAAGAGTTTTAATTAAGACACAATTAGAATTTCCAATACCTAACTTTCTTTTGACGATAATTGCTTTTATAAGCTCGATTTAACCTGAATTTTAAGTGGACTAATTGATAAATAATAATTGTTTGTTTGTGTTTCGTCGCATTTCGATAAATTTCATATTTCATTATGTCCACTCCAGTTGTTTTGAATTATATCGATTTGCTTTGATTATAGAGTTGGATTTAGCTTGGGGTGCAATTTGTCGTTTGGAAAACCAATTAGTAGAGAAATAACGATTAAATATAATTTATCTTGTTAAGTTTACATTAATGAGGGGTGAAAAGAGTTGAACATAAGGAGGGCTTAAGGAGTATAAAACAAAGAAAAATTGAGCCTGGAACAAATGTAAAAGAAATTCAACCATTTGAAGAAAAAAAATTGAAAACTTCTGACAGAAAAATTAGGAAAATTCAAATGTCAGATATAGAAAGTTCAGAAAATTAAAGAATATGGTAGTTCTTCCTCTTTATTTTCTGCCTTTCCACTTCTCTTCATTCCAGGCTCAAAATACATTCGACCATGCGTCAAATCCGGTAGTTCTAATTTTTTGCTGCGTTGTTTAACTTGTTTATGATGCTGGTCCAATAAATAACCCAAGTTTTCGAACTCGACGGCCTAACGCAGCCTAGTCAAAAGTCCAGAAAAACGCCGGATTTTCGACATTTTTTCAGTTTTTGCCGATTTTAACCCTGAAGGGCTAGTTTTTTTGAAATAACTATTCAGTGAATTTTTAAAGAAGACTAAATTTCCTTTAATTTAAGACCGCAACTATCGCTGTAAGTGCAAAAGTTTCCAAAAAAGAGATTTTTAAAGTTTGTCGATTTTTTATTTTCGGTCTTGCTGCCGTTGACAATCGACAACACCGCCGACAATCGACAACACCGCCGTTTAAGTGAAGTTTGGCAAAAGGTACCTGCGTTTGATCCGACCGAGCTTTGCGGAAGATGCCATGGCAAAATGTACCGCGTTTTAGTCACTTTTGGCAAAACGTACCAGTGTTTGGTCTCGACCAATCAAAGCAGGGAAAATCGCACTATTGACTATATAATGGTACCTACATTCTGCTTATTTGCGAACGGGCTGCATACGCATGTCTACAAGTCTCTTTTCTACGTGGCACATCAGTTCTCTACCTGTTAGTGTAAAAATTTCATGTAGCTTAGTATTCTTTCGTTGGTATTTGAAATCGACATTTACAGAATGTTGGATCCGGGTCCCAGTGGCGCGAGTGCGTGTTTTATATGTAAGGATAGTTTATCTGAAGGTGCAGTTTTAATTAAGGAAAAGGGGGTGAAACCCCTTCTTGCGTCCAGTGTTTCCCGGAACATTCGAGAAAATGTACATTTATTGACAGGTGTGAATGTAATATCTGTACACAGTGCTTGCCATAAGAGATACAACGATGCGAGGTGTATAAAAGCAACTGTTTGTCATGGAGACACAAGTATGAAGAGAACAATGTTTTCTTTGTGGTGAGAGAATAACTGAAAAATTCCTTGTGGCCCGAAGAAAGGTGCAACCTGAGAAAAAAATAACTGTAGAAAAATTGTCTCTCCATGCAACAATCTTAGAACCAGCAGAAAAACTTGGTCGCTCCTAAAATAAAAGAACGTATATCGGAGAACACAGATTTGGTAGCCCTTGATGCGAGGTACCACCGGTTTTGTCAAATAATAAAGCTCTACCAGGTCCCACTAACAGAAATGCCCAGAGGAAGTTGTCAGCATTCCATGGTTGATCAGGCCATGGAAATGATTTATTCATTTTTGGAAGGAAACTCTGAGGAGTGCCAATTCTCGCTCAGTGAACTACTGAACCAGATAGAAGGAGAAAAACCCCAACCGCGAACAGTCAAAAACTGCTTGTTAGAAAAGTATGGGAATGACATTTTCATCGTCGAGACGTCCTCCAAACAAACGACGGCATCATGTTCAAAAACACAGGCCACAACTTTCTCAGCAGCTCTTGGTAAAAGAGTAGAAATGCAGATTCTCAAGCAGAAAGGCTACGTGTGGTCAAGGCAGCTGCTGAAATCATACGAGAGGACATACGTTCGCAAGTGTATGACACAAATCAATTTCCACCTTTCAGAATGTAAACTCAGTAGTCCCCGAATCTTTGAGACAATGGCTAGAAACAGGAATTCAAAAAGGCAAAGGAGGTTGTGTTGCAACCGCACATTCAATAAGATCAGCAGTAAGGCCTTGCTCGATCATCTCTTCATCACTGTATGGTGTTGGTGTGTACCTACCTGTATCACAAATTTGGGTCGAAACATCTGGTTGAATTATTGTCAACGCTTGGATTCTCAGCCAGTTACATAGAGATCTTGATTTTAGAAATCTCGCCTATTATGCGTCCAGACAAACTTATCTTGAAAAAGCCTTCATTTCTGCAATTTTCATCTGATACCGCCGATTGCAATGTGAGCATATTGGACGGGCTGGGAACCTTCCACGCTATGGGAGGTATACAAATCATGACTCTATGATTCCATATGTTCTGAGAAGCACATCATAACCCGTTTGACGAAGTATACAGCGAAATCCTTCTGTTCAGCTGGAAATCTTTCAACAAGTCGCAGCGAATCACGGTTTGTCAACAATTAAAATTGTGAACGTAGACAATATCCATCCACTACCTGATGAAATCGTGCCCAGCCTTTTAGATATCCCATGGCTGTATGGGAAAGTTCTGAGAAAGACGAAAATCCCGGGATGGAATGGGTTTATGGAGGAGATAACAAAAGAAAAACAATTTGAAATATCGAAAATAATATGCCTACCATTTATCAATCATCCTGCATTCCAGTACGGTACAATTCTCACAGTTCTTCTAGCTTCCAGCGAGAAATGCAAAATCCATGGACAGAAATCCTGTATTATCAATTTTAACCAACCCCTATGCTTATATTAAAGCTAATGAGATAGTTACAAAGTGTCAGGATACTGATTTGAGCAACATAGTGATGAGGCTAGGGGGTTTCCACCTACTCATGTTCTACATGGGAACAATAGGTATGATCATTTGTGGAAGTGGGTTGAAAGAACTGCTCTCGACAATTTATGCTGAAAACAGCATTGACGAGATGCTAACTGGTCCTGGTGATGCTAGAGCAGTAAGAGCCCATATTTTGGCCCATCTTGCCTTGACAAGTGAAGTTGTGAAAACAATTTATTTGTCTGAAGAGGACGAAAGCATTATTGAGGAAACACATTCAAACCTTGACAGAGCTGCAATTCTGTGAGCAGTTGAAAATGAGCGGTTTTAGGAAATTGCTAAGAAATTTACTCTTGTCAAGCTTGAGGGCAATGGACCAACTGCAAAACTCTGGGTCCTTTATTTTCGAACATTGCAACATTGGTAAAGCAATTCATCCAAGCAGAACGGACAGGGGATTGGAATTTGCATGTGGCCACAGTTCAGAAAATGCTTCAGGTCACTTTTTTATGTCAAGTGTTCTCAGTTATATCTTCAAGATATGCTGGAAGAAGGATTCTTTACCATCACACGTACTACAAAAGTTTACTCTGGTATATGGTCAGATCAGACCGTTGATCAGGTACTTATACAATCCATAAAAAGCTATGGTGGACTCACCCGAGGACGTGGGATGACTGAGAGTGTGGACATTGGGCTACAGAATATCTACAATGAAGTGGAAATATACTGCAACGTTGACTCTGCAACAACAGAGCAACATGCGACAATCTCGTGTCACCAGCGATTAATCAGGTACTGGAAAACTTTGTCGCTGGTTTTCGCAGTAACCTCCATCTCCCGCAGCAGATTTCATCATGTCCGTCAGCAGTGGTCAGGTTGGAGGAGCCACTGTGAACAGCCATATGGCTCTAGAGATTGGAAAGCAATCGATGTTAACAGCAGTTGGCCAGAACTTCCAGGAAGTGAAATTCAAACGAAATAACAATGTGGTATCCCTTTGTTCAGTTATAAGAACTACTACTATTGGTGATAGAAGGTCACTGTTAATCCCCTAACACTGTTCCACAGGCTATGTGTTCTTAAGAAATCGGATGAAGAATTGCAAACTTTTTTCACATAAGAGCTGTCACCAGTCCCAATGTCACTTTTTACTGAAAAGGGAATGAGAAAGGGTACGAAATCTTCATTACTTGCTGCATTTCAATGGGTAAACTTAAGGTAATATGGAAGAAAAATCTAAATTTGTAGTGGTAGATGTAGGTCGTCTTTTCCACATGGTTGTGTTACCTCACATCAAATAATATTTGATGAAAAAACCTATTGCTCAGATTCCTCAAGGAAATGTCCTGTCAAACGATGAAAACAAAATTCGTTTCATCAACATTCTGAAAACAAAAATGAAAAATCATAACATTGAAGTATTCCAGGCAGAGGAAGATGCTGACAGGATCATCATCACTACAGCTTTAACTGTTGCGTCTTCTCACGATGTAGTGTTAGTCGCTGGTGAAGACATAGACTTGTTGATAATCCTCACTGAAATATCACACCAACGTGAAATATTTTTAAAGAAATATGGAAGAAGTGATCTATTTCAGCATAACTTTTTTAAGGCATAAATTAAAACCGATGCTTCACCTATTTATACGTGTTTTCAGTGGATGTGACTCGACATCATGCTTTTTTGTCCAAGGAAAAATGTTATCCACCTTCCACAAAAATCCGGACCTCGGAAAGGAAGCTGCAATTTTTTTCTGAGCCCACCTCTAGACCTGACGTGATAGCAGTAGCAGGGAAGCGGATAACAGTTTTCTACGGTGGTTACCCCGGCACTCATAACCTCGACGAGCTGCGGTACCACCTATTCTCGTGAGCTATAGCGCAGCTTTAATCTTGCCAGGTTAGCTCCTACACGAGATGCGGCTAGATTTTACTTTCTGCGCATCTACCATCAGGTATGAATTATCATCAAATTTACTTAAATAATATAACGGGGTACTTGAGCCTGAGAAATTTTTCGATACCGTGGGAAAATTTCTAGATCGGCGGCTCCTATGATCTGAAATTTCGCGGTTTTGACCCGGGCCAACCCCAAATTTTTCGACGTCATGATGTTATCGGTGGCGCCATCTAGCGTACATAGTATGAAGTTCGTTGGGTCCTTTTAGCACGCCGCCGACGTTTAATGTGGGAACAAACAGGAGTATCATGTTTCACGGTTGAGGCCTTCCGAGACAACTTTGCATAACGCATAGCATGGCGCATAACCATACGTAATGGTCTATGCAAAACCAAACAAAACACACAAAGCGTATACCATAAAGGCGTTCGACGAATCAAATTAAGGGAATCCTGTCATACATCAACATTTATTTTGTAGGTTATGAAATGAGTTGTTTTTGTTTGTTCGTTCCGTTGTGTTTATTTGATCGCAATTTTTTTTTTTTTTTTTTTAATTTTTCACTGTGATTTAAGCACTAAATATTATTAAATATAATCATGTTATGTCAAAGTCAAAAATCACGTGACTTGCAGCGACGTATTTTGATTGGCCGCGCATAGCACAACTTCATAGTTTTTCATTTTTATGGAAAATCTTATGCAAAAGCAATATGGCTACTCCTATTCACCTTGTGATTGGTCGAATTCCTTATGCGCCTATGCTATGCAATTATGTAGGTTTGTTTGGGATGGCCTTTAACTGGTTGGCCCGGGTCAAATCCACGAAATTTCAGATCAAAGGCTCCGCCGTTCTAGAGATTTTCCCACGGTATCGAAAAATTTCTCAGGCTCAGGTGCCCCCGTTACTACTAACCTGTCTTGAAAAACTATCTGTGTAGACAGACCTGTCTCGAAAAGCTGTCTTTATAGACAGACCTGTCTCGAAAAGCTGTCTGTGTAGACAGACCTGTCTGGAAAAGCTGTCTGTGTAGACAGACCTGACTCGAAAAGCTGTCTATGTAGACAGACCTGTCTCGAAAAGCTGTATCGGACCTGTCTCTGGACCTGTATAGCTGTCTACACACTTAATACGTCTTCTTCTGATTTTCTTATTATACCTACAAAAATTGCCTAATATTTCCACATTCGAAAAAATCGATACATTTTAAAGAGCTGTATTTCCGAAAGTATTGAGTTTACAGAAATAATTGTAGTTTCAAATTGTAGAAAATTTAGTATACAGTTATTCTGAAGAAAAAACTGCTCCATGGTTGAAATTGGCAAAAACTTGTGTTCGGCCTTCGAGTTCGAAAACCTGGGTAATTCATTGGGCCAATACCATCAATAACTCGGCAAATAATCAGAATTACCTGATTCGATGCACGGTATCAACCCCCACTCTCACAAACTGTTACTGGATTATACAAGGATTGAAGATATCTGATGACGTTTGGTTTCAATTTGAAGATTCGGCTCTTGATTACCTTTCAGCTAAATTATCCAGAAAATCAAAATCTTAGACATTCAAGTTTTTGATTGCCTCTTTTAGTACAAATACTTCTGTATTTCAACGTGTCTTGAAGAAATACTAACCCAACCTTTTTCTGCTCATCTCAAAGAAGTTTCATTGTTTGGCTCTTGATTACCTTTTAGCTGAATTATCTAGAAAATCAAAATTTTAGACATTCTAGTTCCAGATACAGTTTGATGATGAAGTTTGGGAGAGGAAATCGAAGAAAAATCGGAAAAAGTTTGATAGAAAATACGAAAAGAATGCTTATTGAATAATACTCAGTAATCCATGTAAAATTTGAAAGATGGATTTCCTCATCTTTAACAATATGAAGCAAAAGTCGGAGTTTTATGCAGATTTACCTAGAATGAGATACATAACGATCCGCAAAAAAGTTGCCATCCTCCTCATTGATTTTCTTACGGAAGTGATCCTAGCGGGACTTCCCAGCAGAAAACCACTTGAGGACCGTTAACGTCCTGTCGAAGAAGTGCACAAGAAATTTGTGAAAAGAGCTTGTTCATGTTGTAACGAAGTTACTTTATTGTTGTTGATTGCGGGATGGTGATTCTCCTTCAGAACAGAATCTCGGGCATTTTTGGGTAGACACCTTAAATGTTTCGCCAAGAACAATTATATCGTTCAAACAGGCAAAGCAGAAGTTGTCCAATTCGGGGCTGATGATTCGGTCCATCAACCTTTGGAAGGTTGCTGGGGTGGAGTGGAGGCCAAAAGGCATAACACGAAATTGAAAAAGGCCTATGCTCGGTACAGTGCAAGATACGATCGGTTTACACTTTCTGGACAGGGATATTTGCCAGTATCCTTGTTTAAGGTCTACTGGAAATATATCTGGCTCCCCTTTTTCCGGACAATGACTACGGGTGCGCTCCACGGACTATCGGAGGACTCTATGATTCTGTCAACCAACAATTTATGAACCTCGATATTTTTGGGTTTTGTGGATGGAAGGTGGAAGGTGGACGGTATGCTCCATCATAGGGGTAGTGCCTTTTATCCGGTCAAATTTTGGCAGTTCGAGGTCCAAAAATTCTTGCAGGTGGTGCTCCTCATGAGATGTTAGAACTAAGCTCGATTTAGTGTCTATCGGTCCTTCCGGACCGAATGCAGGAAAGGAACCCTGCCAAGTTGTTTTGCTCCAAATGCGGAAAAACCGGCACGTTATCCCGAGATTGCACCTGCACCCGATCGAGAAACTAAAGAGGTGTTGCACCGGCTCGAGATTCGAACAACACCGCCCTAATAGTACCTCGAAGCGATCGCGGGGAACTTTCTCTCTGCAGCGCTCACCTGATTTTAGGTCGCATGTGCGTACTGATATTGGAAGTGCACCGTTTTTGGCTTTGATAGACACGGGAGCTCCTACATTAGAGAGATTCGGAATTATCAGGCATATGGTTCGGTTATGCAACTCTCTTGAATTTTATTCAGTACGGTTGAGCGGTTTATTTTTCTCGGAACGATTTATTAGATATTACTCTTTTGAAGGCTCAGTCGGATGTCTCAGAACAGTTTACTAGATGTTGCTTCTTTGAGGGCTCGGTTGGATCTCTCGGAACGGTTTACTAGATGTTGCTCCTTTGAATGCTCGGTCGGATCTCTCGGTAACGGTATATTGTTGCGATTTATAGACTCTAACGATGGTGGGGATGCCTTGCTGCAATTGCCGCGGACACTCTTTTTACGGACTCATTGGTTGAAATTCACCATACCTGGAGCGGACGGTAGGCATGCATGGAAGGGTCCAAAATAGAGCCGTCAATCTTTTGGCCAACGGTCGGTCTCCAAAAGAAACGGCCAGTCGGTAAAACAGGGGACGGATGATGACGTAGTCTCCTCGGTCATATCCTGATGTCATTGACATGAGCAACGGTCCCTGCCCGGGCGCTAAATTTGTAACAGGTTTTCTTTGGTATTCGATAGCTGTGGCAAGCTTATCGGTCTGGTAATACTTTTCGGTCAATTATCCATCAGTTTTCTCGGGCGCCACCCTCGGGATTAACGTGGTCGAGGGTCCACGTGCACTAGGTAGCTTGTTACAGTAGAGAAAAAAAACCAGGGGTCAATGCGTATTCAGTGCAGAAATAAAACTCACGATAATAGACCGGTTGCGCATTGACCCCTGGTTTTCTTTCTCCACTGTAACAAGCTATCTGGTGCACGTGGATCCTCGATAACGTTAATCTCGAGGGTAGCGCCCGAGAAAACCGATGGATAATTGACCAAATTGACCAAAAACTTCTACCTGACCGATCAGCTTGCCACAGCTATCGAATACTTAAAAAAACCTGTTACAATGTATCGAGGAAATGAAGGAAATTCAGAGAAAAGTTCGATAGATGTACATACTCGAGTTATGTATCAAAAAATAGAGCAAATGCAAAATTTTCACAATGTAAAGCGATAGTAAGATTTGACACAACAAGGTAATGCCAATTTTTGTACAGTTTCCCAAAACGCTGCCACCTTCTCACGAATTTTCCTAGAACCTTCACCAAGAAGAAAATCTTTCCTAGTCAGGAAAGTTCAAAGGAACCACTGTCGCAAAAACATTGTATCTACTTTAGATGTTAAGAGGCACATAAACCTATTTTACTCCCCTGTTTTGTCCAACTAAACTTGTATTCAAAATTTCAGGTCGTGGTCGTCACAAAAACAACCAATTCGGACAAATGTTAACCTTCGGCCTGGTAGCAGCCGGGCTTATAGTGATCCCAATGGGTTTCCAGTTTTTGGCAGTACTAGGAGGCAAAGCCCTGCTCCTAGCCAAACTGGCCTTGCTCCTGACTTCGATCCAAGGCCTCAAGAAAATCGCCACTAGCCAAGTGAACTACGGACTTTATTCTACCGGACACGGCGGACCTTGTAAGAATGATTTTTTTGATTTCGGTGATGGTGATGAATCTTTAGATGTTGAATTTCATGATCATGAATGTAGGTATAATAATTATTGTGGACATAAATATTAAAAAAACAAGTTTTTTTTTTTTTGTCTGTTCGATAAACGACATTCATTATCTCTTCTGTTTATTTTCAGGCATATTTTTACGCTTTTAAATACCTATCGCTTTCGTTAACAAAAACATATTTTATCAATTTTATTTTGAATGCAAACAATTGGGGATTGTTTCGGAAAAAGGAAAACCGATTATTTGGTTTTGTGTGTGGGACGATTTTGTTACCTAGAATCAATAATAAAGTTTTTTTTTTTGAATCTACCCCTCAATTTAATTAAATACATAAATTGAAAAAGCAGAATTTCCATGTAAAGCTTGCAAATGGAAAACTGAAAACTGTTTAGATAATCATCTTATGCGGCTAGTAAACCCAAAGTAGATTTATACCTTTTAAATCCTGTACAATAAAGCTTAAATTTCACTTTATTAAACCAACAAAATATGAATTTTAGTAGCAAGTTGCTTTTTGATTTTGATTCTTGTTTTTGTTTCTAGGGCATTATGATCGTCAATGGCATTACGATCCAGAACCGTATCCATTTCATTCTTCCAGTTTAGGTGGGCCAATAGTAGAACATCATCCATCACTCTTCAGTGCATTACAACATCAACCTGTAGTAGAAGAACATGGATCCTATCAATAATATTTTAAATTTTAATTTATTTATTATACTTATTTGTTTATTAATATTTATATGCTTTTAATTAAAACCTGCTTTAGTCAGTTTTTTTAAATTTTGGTTTCCCAACCACACCACAGAAAATTTCTTTAATAATATTATGTTATTCAAATCCGAATAAAGTTGAATGACTTGAAAACTAATACTTATTTGGTTTGTTGGGTTCTTTTCTGAATTCAATTTTTATACAAATATAAATGTAATGTATTGAAAGCTTAAAATCATTAAATCCTTCTTCTATTGACAAATCGCTTTGAAAGTTTCAAACGTAGAGATGGCTTGAAACTATTTACTTTATCCCATATGAAAAAAAATACACGGTTTGTTCGTCACAATAACTCTTTAAAGAAAAATCCTCTTGACACCTTAACAAATATTTGTTTTCTGATAATATAGTGAAAAACCACAATCTGTTTTACTTTATTTTAAAATTTTACGACGCCAATTAATTGCCTTTTGATTCTTAGTAGTTGTGTCGTGTGTGTTTACTGCAATTAAGTACCGGCACGAGAATATCATCAGGTAAATATTGTAATAATTAATTTCCGAGAAAAAAAACTGGGTCTTGAATTGTGAAAAAAAAATATATATACATATATTGAGACATATATGTTAATTCATATATATATATACAGGGTGTCCGGAAAGTCAACGATAATACTGAAAGGGCTGATAAAGCAACTCATTAGCATTCAGAAAAACATAATATGACCTTAGTAAAAAATCGATGGTTTCGGAGATATTGTCACTTTCATAAAATTTGTTAAAATCGTCCTCTTGGATCAGATTTTCGAGTGTGACCTTAAAATTTTCATTATTTAGGAATAATGTAAGCATTCTGAATTCAGTTTTGCAATGGTAAATAGACCTATCATTTGTCATAGACCAACATTAAAAGTCAAAGTTCAAAACATTTACTAAAAAATCTTTTTAAAGTAAAGTATCAGAAGTATTCACTTTAAAAAGATTTTCTAGTAAATGTTTTGAACTTTGACTTTCAATGTTGGTCTATGGCAAATGAAATGTCTATTCACGTTTGCAAAACTGAGTTCAGAACCTAAGAATAATGAAAATTTTAAGGTCACACTCGAAAATCTGATCAAAGAGGACGTTTTTAACGAATTTTATTAAAGTGACTATTTCACTAGAGTGTATTACACCAGCAATAAATTCGGTATTCACCTGACAATAATGCTACCTGGACAATACCAACAACATGGTATTTCAGTGACCATCTTTTGACATTGTCAAACTGGTATTTTTAATTTGAAGTTTTTATTAATAATTTTGCATTCTATTTATTTTCAAAATCTTACGTGAAATAGTCACGAATACCACTCGAGAAAAAATTGTGTAGGCAAAATTGTTCTCAAGGTTTTATTCAAGTTTGTTGCTTTTCGGCAATTTCGCCCATGACATTTTTGATAAAATCACTCGCCTGACGGCTCTTGATTTTGTCAAAAATGTCATTCGCGAAATTGCCAAGCAACAAACTTTCATACCTTTCGAAAATTTTGCCGACAAAATATTTTCTCTTGTGATATTATATATGACAATATCTCGGAAACCATCCATTTTTTACTACGGTCATATTATGTTTTTCTTAATGCTAATGGGTCGCTCCATCATCCCTTTCAGTATTATCGTTGACTTTCCGGACACCCTGTATATATATATATATATATATAGATATATATATATATATATATATATATATATATATATATATATATATATATATATACCGTGCCCGCGGAAAAGTCTGCACCATATGGGAATTTTTTTTATGCTCATCCTTACTTCAAATCGGCTTTCGGCATTAGGTTCTGCATGACTGAAAACCAAAAAAATACCTAAAATTTTTGACTCGAGTCTTGCCTCAAATGCCATTTGAAAATTTCAAACAAGGAAAAGTGGCATTTTTATAAAAAATATGAAAAAATTTTATAAGAAAATATTGTTCCAAATGACATTTAGGAGTAGTATATAAACAAACAATTTGAAATTTCAATTTGAGAAATCTAAAATTTTCAAAATAGTCCAGAGGCGTATCAAAATTTTAATAGAAATATTTCTTTTTGATGTTTAAACTCTTAATTAGATTATTAAGATTTAAAAATCCATTAGTCGGATACAAACTAATTATTTTAGAGGAATGGTCGCGAAAGAAATCCTAAAAATATTATTTTTCCGTAGTTATTCGAAAATTTTAATCTTTTTTTTTCAAAGTAAAAATATCAAATAAGACTAAAAATGTCATTTGGAACAATATTTTCTTATAAATTTTTTTCATATTTTTTATAAAAATGCCACTTTTCCTTGTTTGAAATTTTCAAATGGCATTTGGCAGGTGTGAGGTAAGTCTCGAGTCAAAGTTAGGTGTTTTTTTGGTTTTCAGTCATGCAGAACCTAATACCGAAAACTGATTTGAAGTAAGGATGAGCATAAAAAAAATTCCCATGGGGTGCAGACTTTTTCGCGGGCACTGTATATATCAAAGTAACAGTAGATTTTCCTTGGTAGATTTTGAGAAGACTATAACTTTAACGCTAAGTTCAATAATGCTTTTGATTTTTTACTAGTTTATGAGATGTGTAATAGCTTTCATTAACCAATAACAAATCTCCCCCATACAAAAATCTTAGGTGTGGAAAATTCGCAACAGGAATCATCAAAGTTTGTTATTTCTCACTAACTTTTCCATCATCAGTTGTTTATCTTATTTTTCCAAGTTTTTAAATTAAACTATGGAAAGCTAAAACTTTTTACGTCAATCCCTCGGAGGATTTATTAACTAGTTGACAGGCCATATTTTTTTCTTAGCATAAAATACGTGACTAATAAGGTACAGACGAATTATGGTCGTCAGACATATTTTGCTTCGAACGAGGAAAAATAAAAACTTCCAATATTGTTTGCTAGTTACTTACAATTCAATTAACTATTTATTACTCATTTACTATAAAACTTTAATTGCGTTAATGAAAATCAGCGGGTGTTTCTTTGATAGCTCATAAAAATGGTTATATTGAAATAAGTAAGTAAAAAAACACTAGTATACACAATGTTTTCTTTTATACAGGGTGTCCGGAAATTAATACAACAAAATCTGTTCTACTTCCCTGGACTTCATTGGAAAAATAGGCATGAATGGAGAAATATAAATAGGCATGAGCCACAATAGACCAATAAGTCTCAGTGAAGGGCTGTAATAGGTCTACTCACAAACAAATTTGAAATCAATTGAATAATTAATTGACTAATTCTCGAGAAAAAGGCAAATAATAATAATCTGACAACCGATTAATGATAACTATCGAATAATAAATTCACCACTCACGATTACTGCAATTTCATGTAAATCTCGATGTGCATTTGATCACATTTTGCCATTTTTCTCGAAATCAATGAGTTTAACGAAGAAATTTCAAGAAACAAAAAAATTTCTAAATTGAATGGGTCTTCTGAAATTCAAATACTCAACCAAAGTTTGAGGCTCCAAAGACAGGGGGCCCACGAAAAATTGTTTCAAAACAGTCTTCTGCCTAAAATCATAGCACCATCCAATTCTTCATAAGAATCTTTGAACAAATTTTGTTGCATTTATTTTCAGAGATCCTGTATAATCAATTATTAAAGGTACCTAATTATGTGGTTTTGTTAAACTTTCCCAATTTATTTTAATATTTTGAATCATACTTTCAACTTTATAATTTACAAAACTCGTGTGGAAGTTTATAATAATACACTACTTCAAAAAGTTCGCGTAGGTGGCTCGAGATAAATTTTTCAGTTGAAGGTGTGTATTTTTAGTCTCAAATTTGTTGTGAAAATTTTAGTTTTCAGGCATTCGTTTCTCGCTAAGGCATATAGAGAATTGAATTCAAAAGTACTTGGGAGTTGTGTTTATTTATCCTACATTTTTGTTTGTATTGTTGTATTAGGAAATAAAATATTTACCCACAACCATACTACCACGAACAGTGAAAATATCACTCAACCTCCCATCCAGAGCTGGCAATATTTGAAGTAAATTACTCAAAATTCTACTTAAGTACATAATAACTGCTTTAACTATTTTACTTGAATTACTTTTTTTATGTACTTGTACTTGTACTTCCAATATCTATTCTAAAATACTTGGATTTTTACTTGATTAAGTTAAGTATTTTGCTTCAAGTATTTTGAGTACCTACTTACTTATAATAAATAGGTTCGTTTTGGGTAGGTACTGATACTGGTTCTACTAGTTGGCTGTTTATGTCTTGGTAGATATTTTTTTTCTAGTTTTGTTTCTCTTGCACTATGCTTGTGCGGTGCAAAATTATATTCAATGGAGCGTGATATTATGAATTTAGATGATGAAAACAGGGACTCTGACTTCAGAAAAATCAGCTCTCTTCTTGAATACATTAAATCCAGAATAATTCGAATACTGCCCGACACTAATACTAATCAGACTCTGAAGAATAATTTATGGCAACGCTTCAATAATCTATCCCATCAATAGTTATATTTAAAATAAGTACACTGTGGCAAAATTGAGATGTTATGTAAGAATTGATATTTTGGTAGCGTGAATAATTCTGTCACATCTTAAAATTTCGTGGTAAATTATGTTGGAAAGTAAATTTGATATGAAGCAGTAAATATCAGTTGTTTGAACCGGAGGCAATCTGAACGAAATCTTCATTCTTCTCTTCTTGGAGTGGTTGTTGGAAGGTGTTATTAGACACTCAAAATAAGTAGCAGTACTTTTCCTGCTGAAGCTGGAAACACCTTCTTTAACCGCACAAACTGGCACGTAAGATCTTTCTATGCCACCACCAATGTTTTAATGAGAATTTTAAAACCAGACAGTTGCTAGAAAAGATAGTAATTTCCCAATTAAAAGATTTAGTTCCAAATCTGACACTTTATTAGAATTGAAATTAAAAATAAACTATCATCTCTTTGGAGAGCTTTTGCTAAAACACCGGGCAGCAGATGAACTAGAAGATGAGAAACGGATCGAGAACTCGTTGAGACTTTGGGACTTAAATTTCCGGCGATAACTAGTAGTAAAAAACTAGTGGCGAATTAGCGATAACTAAAGTTAACTGGAATCAACATCCGCTCAAATAAGCGAAAAGAACCACCCTCTGGGTACCATTTTAGAAGCTACCCCATAGTACCGGGCTTGCGAGAATCGACAAAGTCAAAGATCTCCAACCTTCTTAGCATTCAACGATTCGCTAAAAGTACCCTCTGGGGTCTTGTTGATTTCCCATTGGTTCTCAAGTTTATTCAACCTTCCCCATTTAAACTGCTCCACCCTGTGATCCAGTTTGATGGACAGAGTTCGCTAGTTACATGTGATTAAACATTTAATGTTTTTCCTTTTAATTGAAAACATTTGCCTTTTCTAATTACCTGATATGCTTTCTATTCCTTAATTTCTAACCTAGTCGAGTAAATAAAATAAAAGTTTCCTAATTTCTAACCTAATCAAGTGAATAAAATAAAAGTTCCCTAATTCCTAA